AAACAAAAAAATTACACTGAAAGTATATCCAATAAAACATGTTCAATAAAAAAATTCTAAAAAAAACTAGATATATTACACCGATTTAAAGATACTTAAACAATTTGCGAGGGGCAATTCACTCCAAAAATCCCGTACACTTCGTCAAAAAATCCGGAAAAAATCCAGAAAAAATCCATGAAATCCTCAAAATCCGCTGAATCCATCAAAATCCAAAAAATCCTTCAAAAATCCACAGAAATCCTTCAAAAATCCACAGAAATCCTTCGAAATCCTTAAAAAATCCGCAAATCCACAAAAAATATATGAAGTACTTGGTGTAATTTACTCGTAAAGGTTCTTTGCCACGTTCAAAATGGCGGACAGCGAAAGCTAAACGCTTAACGTGATCGCTGTCATTATATTACGTAATTATTGGACCACTCTACATTTCCATTTATACGCTCGAGTATACGCTAAGTTTTTTTAGCCTATTACTACTAAATATGTGTTCTTGTTACAATGACGTTATGTCGTAAAATATAATTACAAAACCAAAAGTTATTCACCATTGTCTTTTACTGTTTTTGAAAGAATAAAGAACTTGTTTGAATTTTAAACAAAATGACTGCATGTCCAGCCTTCGTTAGTTTCAGAAGGCTGTGGTCATAGTCCCAGTCCTCTGCTCGACCCTGACGTCCTGGCATAACGTTGACATCGTACAACTTAAGATTATTTGTTCAAAACGTTACCTAGCTCTATAACTCTATAACTAAAAAAAATGCAGAAAAAATCCGAACAAATCCGGAAAATCCAAACAAATCCGGAAAATCCAACAGATTTACAAAAATCCAGAAAAAATCCGAACAAATCCGGAAAATCCAGCAAATTTTCTCTTCAAAAATCCGCTAAAAAATCCGGGAAAAATCCGCTAAAAAATCCGCGGATTTTTAAAAATCCGAAAATCCCGTACGCTTTTTTGGAGTGAAATGCCCCTCGACAATTTTATTATTCTTAATAAATTGAGATCCTGTCAGAATGCATGTCTATCTACAAGAAAATGCTATATGCCATATTACAATATCTAAAGTAATATTCCTGTTGTTTTTGGCCAAACTGTCCAGTTTGCCTCCCCGTCCGCGGCTCCGCATGCCATTCGTATACAACACTAGATTTGCTGATAATCAAAATTTCAGTTGACCAAGAGCTTGAATAGCCTCCTCATGCACAGACTTTGTTGGTGGCCAAGAATGGCCAAGGCCTATAGAGCTCGAACTACTAATTTGTGGTGGTCATACATTCAATTTCGTCTCTTCGCAAACATGGCAAGGTATTGATTCTGAAACCTCAAATAATCTATCTCGCTTTTGATCACGGTGCACAACCGCTTATAATGTAATCCATGGTATTTAGTTTTCTGTCATATTTTATGTATTTATCAATCCTTTGCAGTGATATCTTATTATTTCAAAACGAATAAGAAAGCCGGATTACTTCTTTTCAATGTCAAGGCGCTTTCCTACAAGTAGAGACGCGTTTAACAATATTCCACCAGCTAATCTCTAAATGCGCATCCTATATCTTTCATCTTTGCAGTAAACAGACTTTAACTTTCTCAGTGTTGATATATGGATCTTTGCAATGACTTCCACTCTTCCTTTGTCAGTGTTCCCGTGGAACAATCTTCCCGCTCATATCCTTGAATGTATACTTCTATTTCCTCTTTCAAACAAAATCTTTATATCCACTATTGTGGAAGACTTATTGATTGTTCAAAGTGCCCTTCTTAAACCCAGAGTGTTGTTCGTGGGGGTTCCAGAAAGCATGCTACTGCTAACTCGAATTTCTGTAGACAGCGACGGCTGTTAATTCAGTGATATTCATGATAGTGTGGGGACGAAATGGATAATTAAACCTCCTTCGGTCTGTTTACAATATACGGCGAACCAAACATTTTTTGTGCTTTGTTTACACGCCAGCGGCATGTCATGTCAATCACAAAGGCGAAGCCCCTGTCTGGCTGTCTCATTAGTGTAACCACAAAAAATGAAAAATACACGACAGTTTTCATTACTAGTGGCCATGCTCTTAGCAAGTGCCCTACCTGGAACATGTGGCTCTGGGTTAGGATAAACATAGTTAGGAGACTTAAGAAATTGGACCTATTCCATAATGAACAAAATTTTGATCTAGACAAGTCTAGACAAAAATTTCATCACAGCTTGAAAGAGCATTACAAAATTAGTAATATTCCGAAGTTTCCTTGCGAAATGTTGTAAAATGCGGATAATATAGCCCTGCGAAGTTTGCCGTTTTTCAGTCATTTTGTATTACAAACGGGAAATTGATACCGCTTTCTGAAAAAAGGCATCAATTTCCCGCGCGTAATACAAAATGACTGAAAAACGGTAAACTTCGCAGGGCTATATTATCCGCATTTTACAACGTTTCGCAACGAAACTTCGGAATATTACTAATTTTGTGACGCTCTTTCAAGCTGTGATGAAATTTTTGTCTAGACTTGTCCAGATCAAAATTTTGTTCATCAGGGAATAGGTCCATTATTGTAAAGATATATTGTCTATAGGCTAAAGTAGGATTGGTAAGGATTGGATAGGTAAGCGTAATACTTGATGTAACTTGATATAAATATCATTTCATCAATCAATATAATTTCATATTCCAACACCAACGAAATTTTTGTGAACTTGGTAAAAGGATAACAGAATATGTAAATAAGTTAACTGAAATTGCCTAAATAACCTTCAAAGTACTGACTAAGCACAATAAATCACTACGAACATAAATCGTACACGCCCCCCGGAAAGTTTACTGTATGACTGAATGAATGAATGACTGACTGACTGACTGACTGACTGACTGTTTCGTTTGAATTTTCCCCACCATCACAATACTGTGAAGTTTCGAAGAAACTTCACACTAAAAAGGAGGATAAAAGTAGGAGTAGAATTTTATGAAAATATACAAAAAAGTAGGACAAAAGGAATTGTTGGAGATGGAAATAGAACAAAAGGTTTATGTTTGCGTCGCTGCAAAATCTTGCTAATCCACACATATTCCTTGAGAACTTCTCATCTGGGACACGAATAGGGAACTAATTATGACTCCCATCGGTAAATAAAGAGTTAAAACAATAATATAATGATTCCTCAAGCTGTCTTAAAAAGTAGGATTTTATGAGAAAAAGTAGAGAAAATCAAGTAATTTTTAATAAAAAAAAAGGAAAAGTAGGAAAGTAGAAGAACATAACCTGCAATGAATATTTGAGCTAAAATTTGTTAAGCAATGTAAAGGCACTAGGAATCTGATAATATCTTCTATAATGCCATCCCACATGTCATTCCACATGTTATCTATACGATCATTATAATACTTTGTGAAAACACCACGTAAATTTATTACTGCAAAGCTTTCGATCCGTAAGCCCGGATCTTCATCAGTGGTGATGGATGATGGACTTACGACCTTCGTATAAAATGGGACGAAGCAGCCATTTTGGCGATTGATATTCATAAGTTCTCTCGAAAAATGAGGGAGTCGATTGAAATCGAGAAACACAATACTATAGATCAGGAGGGAAAGCCACTAGATTGTACATTAAAGAGAGCACGCCACGTACTAAGTTAATTTCTCTTGTCTTGGATGCGCGCGTGTTAATTAGAATCACTTCACTATGTTTGAAATGGCGTTGGTTGATGTACCATTTAATTAAATTTCAAATGACGCGAGCCAACAGATCACGACACTTTGGTATATAAAAGCACAGAGAAGAGATATACAGAGAGGAAACACGCGGCAAGTTCTGTCACGCCGATATATTAAGTCTATTAACTATAGAAAAATATATTAATTCGCTATTTTATCAAATTTTGACAATGCAGAGGAAAAAAACTATACATATTATAGAAGTATTCATGTTTTTTTTATGCCAGAGTTATATTTTGAGGAATTTATATCATTTGCTGTTTTGTTTTTTTATACATGAGCATCTGAAATTCCCAGCCAGTGCTTTTCACGATTTTAATAAGGGGTATAGGGAAAAAAAACAAACTTTTGCAAAATAAAATGTTATGTAAGCCCGGATCTTCATCAGTGCTAATAATATGTGACTTGTTTAATTCACACGCTCCTTTTAATAATTTATTGAACAAAATTTCCATGGGTATCTCATTTTTTAAAAAAAAGCGATTTTCACCTTTCGAACGGCGTTTTCCCTATCTTTTGCTATGAAATTTCAGCGACGGCACTGGCTGGAAGATTTTGCGTGGCGCGTGGAACGCGTGACACAAAAATTGAGGTTATCGAGTGTCAGTTTCCTCTCTGTATATCTTTTCTCTGTGATAAAAGGGCGTGTGAATTGAACAAGTCACATATTATTAGCATTGATGAAGATCCGGGCTTACGGATCGAAAGCTTTGCAGTAATAAATTTACGTGGTGTTTCCACAAACAACAGTATTATATGTTTTATCGCCATGCAAACCTACAAAGAACTTATATATGATCATTATATTGATTAGATAACCAGCTAATCGATCATCTCATCTTTTGATAACAAATTTGTCAATGCTCCACAAGTCAATGAGGTAATTTGATATTGAATATTTAACAAGATCATTATAGATAATCATCATATTGATTAGATCAGCATCTTACTCATAATCTCATTCTTTGTCAATGGATGAGGTCATTTGATATTGTGTAGATAATCATTTTTCAAATTAGATCACCATCTTATTGATCATGTTATCTTTTGTTAACAGACTTTGTCAATGAATGAGGTCATTTGATATTGTATATTTAGAAGTGTATCATAGATAATCATTAGATAATCATTTTGCAGATTAGATCACCATCTTATTGATCATGTTATCTTTTCTTAACAAACTTTTTCAATGTTCCACAAGTTGACAGTTGATGAGATCATGCGACGCTGTATACTTAAAAGAAGCGTAGTTCTGGGTTAAGATCTTAAGTTCAACAGCGATCAGGACATCGAATATGGAAACCAAACTGTTTTCTATCGTACTCTGTTTGTTGATATTGGAGGCGGCCGGCTCAAGTCTGAAAAACCTAACATCAATTCAACATGGTACGGAAAACGCATCCGCAAGAAGTACGGTCGACATAGATCCGAGCACACAAGGGATGAAACTTCCGAGTACACAAGGGAACATAGATCCGAGCACACAAGGGATGAAACTTCCGAGTACACAAGGGAACATAGATCCGAGCACACAAGGGATGAAACTTCCGAGTACACAAGGGAGCATAGATCCGAGCACACAAGGGATGAAACTTCCGAGTACACAAGGGAGCATAGATCCGAGCACACAAGGGATGAAACTTCCGAGTACACAAGGGAGCATAGATCCGAGCACACAAGGGATGAAACTTCCGAGTACACAAGGGAGCATAGATCCGAGCACACAAGGGATGAAACTTCCGAGTACACAAGGGAGCATAGATCCGAGCACACAAGGGATGAAACTTCCGAGTAGCCAACAGGGTTTTCCAATGCGGGACTATGACCGTGAACTTTACGAACGTATTGAAGGTGCCCTGGGCCAGCAACAACCGTTTTCTTTTCTAATGATAGCAAACAGTTACGACACACGTTTCAATTATCCACAGAAAGTTAACGATGCCCTGGTGAAAAGCCTCGTAGATTTGGGAGCAAACGGAATATTCCCTTCGAATGCGAAATCGAACTTGGTCATTGCGGGAGTGACGAATGACGTATCCGCCAAAATTCCTAATTCCGCCGAGGAAAAACTTGTTTTGAGCATACCTCAAATGATTGGCTATTATGGTGCGCAGTATGTTGACGCGACTGAAACATTATCTTGTCCGTGGATTGTTGTACTTGGCTCAACCTCCGATACCTGCTACACGACAACTCAAGGTAATGTAACAAAACACGAGCACGACAGTACAACTGTCCCTACTATACACACGCAAAAATCGCACATCTTGTAGCAACTGTCAACAAGCTATAACACGCGTCTGTCAACAAGCTATCAACAGCGAGCTTAAGATCTACAACGCGAACTTACGACGCGGACGTCGCATTAAACAAGTTTTATTTTAAAACGATGGCAAATACCATTAAAATATTTTTATCACAGTA